TTTTTTTTTTTTTTTTTTTACTGTATGGCACGGCTTTCTGAAAATGAAGTTGTGAGATGTTCTATGAATCTGCACTTCAAAACAGTTAGCAGGATTTCTAGATTGATTAATTGCTAACTGAAATGCCATGATAGTGGGCCTGCCATTCTTTCTGTTGTTGTTGTTACTACTTTAAAGAGTGCTCCTGGATGACTTTGCAAAAATCTAGAACTCTTGGTTCAGATTATTCCTTTTATACCAACTGAGAAATTGCAAAAAAAAAAATAAATAAAAAAATTGTTTTTCTGCAAGCTTTCGGGCTATCACACCCTTCATCAGGCTCAGGCAAAGTTAAAGATGGTAAAAAGTCCCTGTATGTAGAAAATAAACTTTAATTTTTTAGGTCATTCTAGGATGGCCAAGAGACAGAACAACATTTACTGTGCACTTTCCAGGTTTAAAATATAACTGATTCAGACACTTCCAGTACTGTGTAGCTGATGGCAAGGTTTAATTTAGAATTTAATTTTAATGTAATCTCTTCACAAGTCATTCATATGCATCAGAGGGATACATATGGCCCTTTGCCTGGTTCTGGGTCATAAAAAGATACAGTTTTACTGAGGTGAATTTTAATTGATAACAAGGTGGTCAGTCTTTATGGCAGTTTCCAAATAGTTACCCACAACTTTCAGTAAAGTACTGAAGTACTTACCTCTTCATTCAGCTGTACTCAGAAAATAGAGAACAAAGTATGGCATTTTCAAAGGCACTTAAGTGATTAAGGAGCACAAATTCTAAATCACTTAAGTGCTTTGGAAAATCTCCCATGCCCATCATCTCTGGATTAGAAATGGAAATTTTAATCCAGTGCGTGTATCTCTTTTAAATCAAGATATTTGAGGAATAAATAGAATTTAGTTTAAACTATTTCATTTTGGTGAACTAGCTCACAGTGTATACAAATAACAGTCTTCCTATGCACTATAAAAATAGGTAGAGTAAAATTTAAATTGCGTGCTGTGAGCTCTGGCATATGAGTGTTGCTTCATCCTGTTGCCTAGTGGCTTCATGTTCTTCAAAAATGAAATTCCTTCCAATCATGCTGTTTTGTGCAGCAGAGCATAAATCACAATGGTTGCCGAAAACCTTCTGGTCACTTGGTGTCAGATTTGATTTACAGCTTCAGGATTTTTGGAAGTGTGTGGGGAAATCTTTATAGTACTGCAGGCTTTCCCGTGATACCTTTTATCAACTGCAGGTTCTAAATATTTCAACCTTTGAAGGACATTATCAAATCTAAAATAGTCTAAAAGATTTTTTTCTCGTATGTAATTTTTTTTTTGTATGTACTTTTTACTTTTTGCATTTGATTAACTCTGTGTGTGTGGTAAGTTTTGTTTCCAGTTTGTTTGGGTTTTTCAGCTAGGAAGAGGAAAGAGGGTTTGTTTAGTTGGTTGGGTTTTTTTGAGGGTGAGGGGAGGAGGCTGTAAGTGAATGACAGCCTCAGGAAGGTGTAGTACCTCAGACTACAACTTGCTCCACTTATTTATGCATCCTGGTAAATGCATAATTCACTTAATTGCCCAACACAGTGCTGGTCCCATTCTGTTACCAACTACTTATTTTGCAACTGTTGTGCAGATAACTGGTGCTTGTTAAGTGCTGCTTAAATTTATAGGAACTCAGTTGGCCCCACTGTCTACTTTGTAAGGCTTCTGAAATGACTTTGGCAAAATCTAGTCAATTAAATTTCAGTGCTTCTATTAGATGGGTAAGGCCCTCCCAGAAACAAGGTGAGGAACCTTAATGTGGTATTAAAAGTACAGCCCAAACTGTTCTATAGTTAATTAACATTATTTATATTGAGTTTGGTAAGCACACAGGCTTTGTTTAAGTACATAGCCTTGGGACTGAGAGAGAATTCTCTGCACTTCTTAGATATTTGAAAATAGCTACCTTTCAAGTTGATTGCATGCTTATGCTATTCGTCTATTACAATTTGCAAGACTGGTTAAATTTAACTTCTGTTAATCAGTCATGCAGTGAAGAACAGATACAGGCAGTCCTCAGACTTGTTGACACACAATTGGTTCCTGATAGCTGCCTCTTAAGTGGAAACATAATTCGAAACTAAGTTTCCCATAAGAACTAATATTATAAAAGGGGGATTGGTTCCTGAACCAAGGCCCAATACCCTATTTTCACCAAAAATAACCCAGAATGTTGTACTCCAATCAATTTTTAGATGAGTAATGTAGCTGCATTTATGTATTTATATTGTAAATAGCAATCATTGATTTGGAAAGGCGACTTTGAGGTGATTTGCTAGACTTTTTGACGAGCTCTTGGTTGGACTTTTTGAAGGGTTCTTGGCTAGAGACTTCTCAGAAGTCTTGTCTGCTTTCTTAAAGAAAGTGTCCAAGGAAGTTTGGACAGATGTTCTCCAGGAAAATGGGTGATGCAGCAAACTTGTTTGGTGGCGTGGCATTGCA